AAATCTTCACCAAGCTGAACCTCTGTGGAGCTTATAACCTGGTCCAATCTGGAAAAGGGATGAGTCAAACACTGCCTTTTGCCCCAAATGAGACACTTTAAATACATAATAATGCCCTTCGGGCTGTACAATGCTCATGTGACATTCCAATGTTTATCAATGACACCCTCAGAGACACGTTGGACCAGTTCATTATTATTTACTTCAACTATGGTCTTATTTTTTCCCCAAGGACCAAGCCTTCTTATGACCGACACATATGCTGAGTTGTGGAGAGGCTTCACCAGAATCACTCTGTTAAACTGGAGAAATGTAAATTTGATCGCAGCACGATCGAGCTCCTTGACTACATTATATCCCCCGAAGGACTAACTATGGATCCACACAAAGTATCCGCTATCTCTGAGTGGTCAGCTCGAAGAGATACAACGATTCCTTGGTTTTACCAACTTTTATTGAAGTTTCATCAAGGGGTTTTCTCGCTTGGTAGCCCCCAAAACAGCATTCTTTCAGAGAGGAGACTGGTCCGTCTAGTTACCTGAGGCACAGTGAACCTTTGACTAGCTGAAAAAGACATTCACCATGGCTGCCATCCTTGTCCATCCAGATCCCACCCAAGCTCTTCCTTGTGGAGGCTGCTGCATAGAAATTCACCATGGGAGATAGGTTATCTCAACAAACAGGTCCCCATAACCTATAACCATTTCCACCTGTGCACCTTTTATTCCTGAAAATTAACCCTGGGGAGAGTGATTAAGGCAGCTTTTGAAGAATGGCAGCACCTCCTAGAAGGGGCCCAGTTCCGGTTCTCACAGACCACAAAAAAAATTTAAGAGTAACTTCACAGAGCCAGTAATTTAAATCAGTGTCAGATCTGCTGGTCACTTTTCTTTTCCCAATTTGAGTTTGTTGTAATGTACCACCCAGGTACAAGAAACAGAAAGGTGGATGTCTTATCCACAAGGAGGATTATGTCTACTCATGCATGGAACCTTTTTGGCAGTTCTCAAACCATCTAAATTTGTCAATGGGGACTGTGGACAGAAAACTAATCTCCATCATTCGGTCACTGCTGCCTCACAACCTTTTCACCACACAGCTTCACCAGATGCCCAGCTCAGCTCAGGTTTCTGATTACAGAATGGGATCCTCTACCACAGGGAACTTATTTATGTCCCAGATGGCCAGCCTAGGCTCGAAGTTCTGAAATTATGTCACAACTCAACACTCACTGGCAATGTTCCCTCTAATTTTTTCCATCCATGTGCAGAATGCTTTTGTTATGTACACCAATATCGAGGTAATGTGCAGATGTGCGCCATCAGTAGAAACAAAAAACCTAGATATAATTTTTTTTTAAAGTTATCATAGGGATAATTTCTCCAGCCGGGACAGGTTAGGCATTTTAGAACTCACTACTCAAAAAATTAAATGTAAACATAAGAGAGAAATAAAAATTATGAAATGCATAGACCAGTCAAAAAACTAAAATAACACACTTTGTAAGAATAAAATTACAGAGACCGCTGAGGGAAGTGGCCAGCCGAAAGACTACAGTTTGTCCCTGAGCGAGGGGCTGGACTAGGGGGCTGGAGTTCACCACTGTGGTGAGAAGACGGGCGAAGGACTGCCAGCTCCTCTGGAAGGGGGGAGACAACGGAGTTGGGGCAGAGCCAGAGGGCCGTGCCGTGAAGAGGACGCCACAGTCCGGGAGCGACACAGGTCCCCACAGACAGCGGAGACGGTGGAGAAGCAGTGACAGAGAGTGAGACACCACAAGAGGAGAGCACCCTGCTAATGGACAGAGCTAATTCCTGGAGCAACCAGCAGGAGGTGCCATGGTGGTGAGTACAACCCGTTACACATGGTGGAGAAAGCGGGCACCCGGTTCCCCCCTTGCTGCAACGGGGAGAGTGAGGACGGTGGGACTATTGCTTCCTGCAGAGATTAAATACAGTAAGGGTGGAGAAATGGGGGTGGACCATTATTGGAGGGCCTGTGTGGCCCGGCTCGCCAAGCAGCAATGGGGACTGTTCCAGCTGCTGTGTGGGAGGGCACATGGACCTCACTGGGGACCAGGAACCTGGGGCTGGAGGCTGTTATGCCTGTGGGTGAAAGGGACACTACAAATGGGAATGCCCCTACCAGGATGGAGCACAGAGGCCCCACCCAGAAAAAGAGGGAACTGGGAGAGCGCTGCTTGAGCAGTCAACAGGGTGGCCCTGAACTTGTTGGGCCTGTGGGGAGCCTGGGCACATGAAGAGGGAGTGCCCCTACGGGACTCGCAGGGCCTAGGCTAACCCCGAGGGAAGGGCTAAGCCCGAAACAAACTGTGGGAGGGCTGTGGCCAAAGGAAGGCACAGGAGGTACTTCCTTTGCCACAACGAGGGCCATTTAAGATGGCACTGCCCCCAGAGAAGGAAGGGGAGGCCAGAGGATCGGTCTCAGTCTGAGACTGCCCCGAAGGAGGGGGCGGTGAGGACCAAGGCCCTAGAAGGGAGATTGTCTGGGGCAGAGGGGTCCCAGATAAATAAGGGAATCCACGCGGGGCAAGACAGGCCACAGTGGAGACCCAAACAGAGGGGGAAACCCACACGGGAACCAGACAGGATACAGTGGGAACACAGACCCTGGAAGAGGGAAACAGGTTGCTCCTCTCAGTGGAGAGCCTGCGGCAGGAGTGAGACATCCTGTGGGCCCCAGCAGCAGGAGAAGCTGGGGAGGTAGACTCCCCCGGAATGGGGGAGACAATGGAGTTGGGGCACAGCCAGAGGGCCGTGCCCTGAAGAGGATACCGTGGTCCAGGAGCGACGCGGGTCCCCACAGACAGCGGAGACGGTGGAGAAGCAGCGATGGAGAGTGAGACACCACAACAGGAGGGTGCCCTGCTGATGGACAGAGCTAATTCCTGGAGCAACCAGTTACACCAGCCACGATCCCTTGCTGGAAGTCACTCTGTCCAGCTACTGCCCACCCACCTCAGCGCTGGTCCATCATGGCCCTGGACTTCACTGTAGACTTACACTGCTCCCACAGTTGTACAGTAGTGTTAGTTGCAGTTGACCTCTTCACTATGGTGGCACACTTTGTCCATTCTCACACAGTCTCTACCACCCAGAAACTGCCTGCCTCTTTCTAGAGCACGTCTTCTGGCTCCACAGACTACAGACTGACACCATGTCAGATCAAGGCCCACAATTTGTCTACTGCTTCTGGCACAAGGTTTTAAATTCCCGATAGAGCTCCTTACCTCATCAGCATACCACCCACAGATCACACCAATGGACAGACCAAACCAGATCTTAGAGCAGTACATCTAGTGCTTCCTGAATTATGACCAGCATAATAGGGTCTCCCTGCTGCCTTATGCAGAGTTGGCCTACGACAGTTCGATCCAGGCCTCCCCCTGACAGAGCCCATTCTATGCCAATTGCAGCTTCCATCCCTGCTTTCATGCAGCATTGACCACAGACTGCCTGGTCACCCAACTGCATCACCTGCAACAAGAACTTTTTGAACATCTGGAAGCCACCAAAGTAACCTACAAGCATTATGACAATAACAGCTGTCAGGATGCACCAAACTTTAGTATCAGGGACAGGGTCTTTATATCATCTCAGAATCTGAAATCAACCCAACCATCAGCTAAGTTGGCTCACGAATACTTAGGCCCATTCGACATTCTTGAGCAGATCAACCTGGTGACACTCAAGCTTCAATGACCACAGTCAATGAAGACCTATCCAGTGTTCCAAGTCTCTCTCTTAAAACCTTACATAACCTAAATAACCCCTTCTTTGGTCAATCCAACCCACCGCTGCTGCCCATAACAGTCCCTGGACAAGAAGAGTACCTTGTCTGACAGATTCTTGACTCCGAGCAAGTTTAATTGCTTGGTGGACTAGGACGACTATGGTCCTGATGACCAATCACGGGAACCGGCAGAGAACATTCATGAATCAAGATTAGTATGTGATTTTCATTGGGTCCATCTGAAAGAAGTCCAGGTGAAGGGCCCCAGAAGGTGCTCCTGACAGGGGGTTACTGTCAGGAACTATAGCACTGAGTTCCCTCGACAGAGCCTAGTGCTAGCCAGTTCAGCATTCAGGAAGGTTAAAGGTTAATGAGCTCAGCTGGGCTGCAGCAGAATTGCCTGATTGGCTGGCCCACCTAATTGGCTAAAAGGAGACAAAAAGATCTGCATTTAAGCTCAGCAGAAGCAGCAGTTTGCTGGCTGCTCAATGCTTACACCCACAACTGCCATCTCTCCTTTGCCTGCCTTGTTCCCAGCCTTGCTCCTGCCTTGTATCCAGTCTTGGCTCTGGCCTTGCTCCGGTTCTGCTCCAATCTGCTCTTGCCCGGTTCTGATCCTGCCTCAGTCTTCCCCCAGCCCTACTCCCCTGCCTGGTTTTTGACTATGGCTCTGACCCCTGACTCCAATTAGGCTCTGGCTCTAGTCCTTGGATTGATCCTTGACTTCAGCTTTGGCCCAGGACTCTGGCTACCAACTCCTATCCCTGGAATTAACCACCAAGCATTGCTCAGGCTCTACCACTAGGTCAGACCACCCACATCTCAGTCCTGACACCTGGTTTGTTGGAGGGGGAAAAAAAGTTACCTTTGATATATTTTCAAAATATTTTTGAATTTTCCATGAATCTGTCACCTATACATGGCAAAGTAATTAGGTTTTACTGGCTGATAAATATGAAAAATTGAACCAATAATAAAGAAGTTGGAGTTCTAAAGTATTTTTTAATCTAACTTCTCCAAAACGTGGCATAAACTGAATACTTTGTGGCATACAGTGACACAAAAAGTCTTATTTGGCACTCTTTTGGGATGAGTTGCATAACTCTGATGACTTTGGCACTCATGAATAATGCTACCATCCCAAACTCATGTCAGTAAAACCTTAATACTAACATACACACACACACAATACCAAGTTCTCACTTTCCAAATGGCATCTACCAATTATCTATCATATTTATACCTACCTGCCTTTCTCTTTTTGATACCTCTGCCAGGGTTGTTTTAAGCGCCTTCAGTTCACTGGTAACTGCTTCTAGCATACTCCTGGCCCTTTCTTTATCCTCCTTAGCTTCATGCTCCGTAAACTGTAGTTCTGATTTGACACAGATCAGCTGCTTCTCAGCCTTCTCCTTCATCTTTTCCAGCTTGCCTTGAGACTTGTTTAGTTCCTCAATGGTTCTAGCCTGTTCTAGAGTTTTGACCTACAAGATCAATGATAAGAGGACTCTTAAGTTCTTCACATTGCCATTTATGAGAACCCTATAGCGAAGATGGCTATTCTAGAATATATTTTTTTCTGTTGATATGAAGATAGCTTTTTGCTACTGTAAAGCAACAAACATTTTCACAAGAAATTCAGAACTAGTGAAAAGCTAAAACTGTGTTTCATTTAAGTTCAAAACTTTTTCTCCCAGGTTTGATAGAATAGATTTTCTGAGGACAATTAAAGCAACACACATTGTAATGTGTTCAACTGTAGCCATGTTGGGTATTCCACATCCCATAACACTAACTCCAAGTCTCCTGGATTGTATTTACAGCTGCTATGTAGTACATACTTAGAGGTCAATGACAGATTCCAAAATATCAAAGATCTCTTGACTTTATTTTACTGCTTTCTTTGTCACAAACAGATTTCAGTAGTTCACCATTAACATATGTTATTATACTTCATAGTTAGTGTTCCATGTTTTCAGTTTTCACTGATTTTCACCAATAAATTATCAGGTTTTTTTAATGATAGGAGTTCAATTTTTACTGATTTACACATGTTTATCAATTCTCTCTCTCTTTTTATATTATATATATATATATAAAAACTTATTTTTGTTAAACACTAACGCTTTAAGCGATTGTTGTGTCCTGCAGCTCTGAGACTGAAGCAGTTCTGCAACATAAAACACAGAACACACTCAAGGTTGAGGTTGGAAAAATCAAACAACGTTAGAATTGTGCTATGATTGGCTCACAAGGAGATGCTGCCCACCTATTTCTTTGTGTGCGCTTAGCGCAGCACTGATATTTAAACAACCAGTCCTCCACAGATAAAGATAAGGTAAACCTGGGGTGAAAATGCAAATCTATGCCTGAACAACAAGAAAATCAGTGCTTAGAAATTTTCAAGAAAAGACGGGAGTGAAGAGGATGCATTGCGCTGCAAGTACTGCAGCACTGAGGTCAGTGCTCATGCTGACAGAATAAAGGAGTAAGTTGAAAACAAATGACACAAGAAGCTTAAAGAAGAAAGCGAGCTTTTAGATAAACAGTCAATATCAGGAGCTTTCTTTCATTAAAGCCCTAGTGAGAGGATGCAGCATGATTGTGCCAATGAATTTGTGCGTACTTTGTTTCACCGGACAACTGCTGTTAATTGCTAAGGGGCCTATCGTTGACTTTGTGCAACAATACTGTCCAGCAGCAAAACCCCTTCCTAATGCAGACAACCTCACTTGTAAGTATCTGAAAGAAAATAACTGCTTTAGAATCTAAACGGATGGAATGAATTGATGGAAATGTGGTGTCTAGGCTGATTTTTGATGAGTCTCCTCATGCCTTGGATGGTCTGATTTTTGGCCTTTTGTTTTTGTTTTTTGATTTCAAAGCGAATAAACCCACATTCTTTTGTGCTGATGTGACATTCATCCCCTCTGCTGACACCCATTTTGTTGAGGCAGCAATAACTGACATGTTTGAGATGTACCAACTAACTTGGGATAACGTGGCCACAACTAACACAGATTCTGATTCCTACATGGCTAAGTTTGCACGGGAGATTAAACTCAACCAGTAACTGGAGATGCTACCTATTACCTGTCCTGCTAACCTGATTAACAGTGCACTGTCAGCAGCTATTGCTACAGAAGAAATGAAAGAGGTGAAATCTTGCATCATTGGATTCGGGGTCATTTTCAAGCATGCAAACAAGATGAAGGCTTTGTTTTACACAGTGCAAGGCGAAATGCAGAGCCAACTGCCGATTACCTACCCGTTATGCCACATCAGTGGATGAGCTTGTACTTCACTGCCTGTTATGTAAATAACATGTGGACTGTTGATGTGTCTCCTAGATCATACTGAGTTTGTTGGTTCTAAAGCAGAAACTCTGAAGAGACTGGCAAATAACCAAAATTACAGCCAGATTCTGCCCACCAAGGTAATGTTCGTTGTTGAAAACTTGGAATCACTGTGTGACACACACAAAACACTGGAGTTTTCTCTGACTACTGTCAACATGATTGCCAATACAGACAATTATCAGATCCTGACAACCAAAATCTCAGCTGAATTAAGCATAAAAGTAGCAGGAGAAACATACAGCGAGAAAACCCAGCTGCTTCTGGAAATCCTTCCGACCCCGCAACATGAGAAAACCAAAAAAGCATTCCAAACCTTCAACACAATGCTCAGCGAAAAATGGGAGATGACTGTGGCCCATAATCTGAACCCTAAAGTGTTTGGTGCTGAAGATTCTTTTTGAAATGTCATCCAGGTGTTGCACCCCTTCCTCTCAAGGTGAATTTTGCAGCAGACTATGACCGTTATGCTAGAATGTTTCAATGATTTGCCACTAAAGATGAAATTTCAAATCTGAAAAGGGAATTTACTGCTTACATGAACATGCCTATCCCTAACATTGTGAAACTGGATGTTCTGGCTTTTTGGAACAGTCATCAAGACACACTTCCCAACTTCAGCAAAGTGGCACACCAAACCCTGGGATCTATTAATACAGAGTGCTTATTTTCAAAATTAGACTACCTCCAAGACAGAATTATGTGAGTGTACGCAAACCAGGATTTCTTAAAAAATTATTAGCTCAGAGAGACAAAAAATACCTTTGTACATAAAAAAAAGTTTTAATTTTATTGTAGTAAAATGTGTATATTATGAACTTTTTTTGGTTTTCTTTTTTCCCTGTTTTTTAATTATTTTTAACCCCATTTCATCCTGGTTTCAATGTTTGGGAAAACACCAACAAATTCCTGGAATTATTTTTTACAAAAAAAGCTGAAAACGTGGAACACTATTCATAATATAAAATGAGCTCCAATTGTATTCAGTCTTTTCCCTCCATTGGTAAACAGAAACGGTAAAATGTAACCATGTTACTCACTTTCAGTTCATTGGTGTCAGACAGTTTGGCTTTGAGATCAGTGTTCGAGTCTCTTGCCAGGCCCAGCTCCTTCTGTAACCTCTCCACCTTCTTCTGTAACTTTCTGATGGTGAGGTTGGCCTCATCTCTCTCCACAGCCAGGGCTGTTCGCACTTGCTTTTCCTCTTCCAGCTGGGATATTTTCTGCCGCAGAAGGTTCATATGCAGCTCTTTGCTCTCAAGCTTTTCTTTCTGAGCTTTCAACTAGTTTTAAGAGAACAAGGGGATTTCAAAAAACAAAAAACAAACATACATCCAACTTTAGCAGCAATCACATGAATGGATTGTCATTGTAAGTTTGGTCCTTCTGAAGCACATTTCTGTAAGTCTGACCTTCTCGTTGTTTCCTGCAGAGCTCTGTACAACTCTGCCCTGGCCTACATTGGTACTTCAGCTCTATCTAATCACCCTACACCTCACCTCTTACTACTTCCCTGGGCCACCTCCACTGCTCCTTCTATTTTGCTGCTTACATGTAGAACACCGACCCTATCCTATAGGATTACATACTTAACCATCATGCATAACACCTGAGCTTGCTTTTACAGTTACCAAACATATGTTATCCTGCAGGTTAGCCTAACAGTGGGTGAAGAGCTCAACCACAGTAGGATGGCTGATAGTATTTGAGCCAAACCACACACATGTAACAGATTTCAATCAATGACATCATAGCTGTGTCTAAAAGTTTAAAACACCAAAAAGATCAAGTATTTACTAAAGTACTAGTTTAGTTTTATTAACTTCAGTGAATGTGATTTGCAGACTGTGCCAACGAAAGGATACTTCTACATTTAAATATTTTTGGTATGCTATAACAGTAGTGTTGTTAGGAAGTGTTCAATTGACCTACTTTTTTATTGTTGTTTTACTATGCAGTTTGGTTGCTCTGGGTTGCAAACATGTTTATCATCTCCTCTTCGGATGACAGACTGTATCTTTGTATGTTTGTACACAGTGCGGCTTCAATTTTAATTGGGGCCTCTGGCAACTACTTTAATGAAATATAGTAATAATAATGCTCTTCTTTTTAACAGATAGGAGATGAACTCAGCCCTCCTTTACCTACCTTCCTTTGTAGGTTGTGTGCCATAGTCTTGTTTTCAATCACTGCATCACTTTCCAGTTTGACCAACTGCTCTGCACGGGCCAGAATCGCATCCAGACTCATATCGAGCCCAATCTCAGCTGCAACGCTGTCCAGCTTCATTTTATCCGAAAGTTGTTCCAGAAATTTAAGATACTGAAACAAGAAATGGGTAAGTGGGAAGAGAAGAGGAGTCATTTAGAGCCCTTAAATAATCCAAACCATTTTCCTCTGTGCTGGCAGACATCTAAGTACAGCCAACAGTCACCATTTCAAAAACAGGAAGCTCACACTTAGTATCCTCTTACAGTTAATACAACTCAGATATTTCTCAAACTGATCTCTCTTCATAGGTATTTGCTAGAAAAGAGTTGAACCTATAGTATTTAGTAGTTTAATGATATCAGGGATCCTATAAATCTGTTTGCCACAGAAAAACATGGAATTTGTGTTTTTACAGAGAATTTTTAGTTTTTACATTTTGTAAAAAAATATATACAGTGGAACCCTGATTATCCAGTCTAATTGGGACCAGGGCCAGGTTGGATAATCAGGAGAATGGGTGGGGCTTGGACTCTCAGCCCCAGGCAGCAGGTTTCGGGCTGTCAGCTTAAAAATTGTAAATATAATCAATAAAATATTGTGTTCAATCGATCCCTATCTATATTGTGGCTAGGGACACTAAAGTTCAGTATTTCATTTAAATCGTGGAAAAACACAGATTTTTATGTTTCTTTTTAATTGGAGAATTTTGGGGGGGTTATCATGGCAAACTTGGATCCCTGGTGATAACCTACCATGATACATGCCAAGTGCAACTGATCTAATAGGTAGACTACAAATCAAATTTGTATTATACTGTCACACATGACATTGCTGTGTAATATTTTGTTTAATTGTTCTGGAATGAGAAATGACATTTTAAATCCAACTAGATTTTGCCCCTAGCTTATACTTTATCTAGGATGACGTTTGAAACAACATGAATATTTCCTGAGATAACTGTACAAGAATAAAACCAGAGACAGCAGATGTGAGGTCAGGTGTTGGGAGAGGGTACACAGGGGATGTGATGGTGGACTGAGGAACAGCACAAACAGTAGGCGGAAGAGATCTACTGATTCAACTATTGGATCTTTCTTAATCTTCTATCCCCTTCTCTATGTGACTTCTTCCAGGATCGCCTGCAGTTCAGGTGTAAAGAGTAAGAGCTGGATGTCATCCCCAGGTTCAGAGAACTCACTGCATTGAATATTCGCCTCCTAATCAAACTACACTGGCTGCGACCAATCCGGTATGGACATGGTTGACTTGCTCATCACATGGTGTGCCTTGGGGAAATTTCTAACCTGGCGGAGTCCAGCCCTCTCCAGGTAGCTCCCTTTCAGTCGCCTCTTATGACATGCAGGAGAAGCAGTGGTCCTATTCGGTCCCTGAACCCACAGGGGACAGAATAGGAACAATATAGCTGGCACCTCCTAGGAATCTCTGAAGTCAGATGGAAGAACTTTGAAGAGGCACGAATGGAAGGCGGCCATGTACTCTATTACAGTGGAGAGGACAAACATGTTAACGGCATAGGATTTCTTGTGCATAAGGATATCAAGAATTCAGTATTAGGATACCACCCAATATCCAGCAGGCTTATTTCCATCCGTCTAAAGGCAGTACTGTTCAATATCACAATGGTACAAGTCTACGCCCCTACAACAGACTATGACGATGAGCAAATTGAAGATTTTTATAATCAGCTCCAAGACATCATCAATAAGGTACACAAGAAAGATTGTACAAGGAGATTGGAATGCTAAAGTGGGTACTGACGTACAGGCAGATTGGCAAGATTATTGTGGCCCTTTCTGTAATGTGGTAACCAATGAGAGAGGACTGAGACTTTTGGAGATTGCCAGCTATGACAATCTGGTTCTTGCAAACACATTAGGAGTACATAAAGCATCCAGAAGATCAACATGGCAGGCACCTGATGGTTTACAACACAGTCAGATCGACTACATCATGGTGCAAAACAGATTTCGTTCTGGGATCAACAGAGCTAAAACAAGGAGCTTCCCAGGTGCTGATGTTGAAAGTGATCACAACCTTGTGATGCTAAACTTTTGGGTGTGGCTAAGGAAAATCGTTAGGCCAAAGTTCACCAGAATCAAGTTTGACTTAGAAAGACTTAGAGAACGAAGCATTGCAGAGTCATTCCAAGCAACCATTGGTGGAAAATTTGCTCTGTTGCTTGTTCTAGAGGAAAACGTAGAAACAATGACCAATAATTTCAATGCTGTAATGAATGAGGCAGCAATGGACATTCTTGGGAAATCCTGTCAGAAGATAAAACCTTGGGTCACAAACGAAATACTACAAACGTGTGACATTAGAAGAGAACTCAAGAGAGACAAGAACAGCACTGGGGGAGCTGATAAATTCAGAGCAATTGGCAGAAAGATCAAGAAAGGAATGGAAGTGGCCAAGGAGATATGGATCAAAAAACAATGCTCTAAAATTGAAGAGTGTATCAATAATAAAAATAGCAAACGAGCCTTCCAGATTGTAAAAGATTTGACGAAGGAAAGATGGACCAAAGCTAACACACTTCAAGACAAAGAAGGGAACAATCTTACAGAAGAAAAGGACATCATCAATAGGTGGACAAATTACAGCTTTGATCTATACAATCACCAGACAAATGGAGATGTCCTAGACAGCCCAGATTCAACAGAGGAGGATGACTTTCCAATACTGCATGAAGAAGTGGAGACAGTTGTGAAATCACTCAAGAGCGGAAAGACTACAGGTATTGACAACATTCCAGCCGAACTGATGAAATTTGGAGGAAAAATCGTAATAGATGTACTCACCAAGATCTGCAACAAGATCTGGCAAACCGGTGAGTGGCCCTCCACGTGGACACAGTCATTAATCATCACTCTGCCAAAGAAAGGCAACCTGCAATTGTGTTAAAGTTACCGGACTATAAGCTTAATTAGCTATCCCAGCAAAGTATGTTGAAAATCATATTGAACAGATTGAAGCCACAAACGGAGAATATCATCGCTGAAGAACAGGCTGGCTTTTGTGCTGGAAGAAGTACCACAGAACAGATTTTTAATCTTCGGGTTCTACGTGAGAAGTACTTACAACACCAGCAGGACATCTACCATGTCTTTGTTGACTTCAAGAAGGCGTTTGACACAGTACGGCACGAAGTTCTCTGGGCAACCATGAAGAAGTACAGTGTCGGTCATAAGCTTATTCTTACCATTAAACAACTGTATGCCAAGGCCAGAGGTGCAGTTCTCGTCAATGGCACAATAGGAGAGTGGTTTCGCACCACTGTTGGAGTCCGGCAAGGCTGCCTTCTTTCACCCACACTGTTCAACATCTACTTGGAGCGCATAATGACTGTAGCCCTGGAAGATCACATATGCATAGTCAGCACTGGGGGGCAAACAATCTCAAATCTTCAGTTCGCTGATTACATTGATGGCCTGGGAGGCAGTGAAGATGAACTTGCCAACCTTCTGAAATGATTGGATGAAACCGCCGCAAAATACGGTATGAAAATCAGTGCAGAGAAAACCAAGGTGATGACAAACAAACATGACGGGATCAACTCATATATTAATGTCAGTGGACAAGAGCTAGAGACAGTGAAACAGTTCAAGTATTTGGGGGCAATCATCACTGATGAAGGATCAAAGGCAGAAATTCTGGCAAGAACTGCACACACAACAGCAAGAGTGGCAAAGTTAAAGCCAATTTGGAGGAATAAGAACATCTCCCTGGAATCCAAACTGAAACTGCTGCACGCATTGGCCATCTCCATTTTTCTGTATCCGTGCAAGACATGGACCCATACGGCAGAACTTGAATGGAAAATACGGGCAGTAGAGATGAGATACTTCTGTAAAATCCTGGGCATCTCCTACTTCGACCACATCACTAATGAAGAGGTCCGCAACATCATCACCCAATGTGCTGGGTCATATGAAGACCTACTGATGACCGTGAAGAAGCGCAAGCTGAAGTGGTACGGCCATGTAACAAAATCATCTGGCCTATCCAAGATCATCCTCCAAGGGACACTATAGGGGAAGAGAAGAAGAGGTAGATAGAAGAAGAGATGGATTGACAACATAACAGAGTGGACAGGAATGGACTTCGCGGAGGCTCAAGCACTGATACACAATCGTCAGGGGTGGAGACAATTGGTTGATTGCTTATCAATGATGGTGCCCCAATGACCAATGTGGTTATGGGAGTGATGATGATGATAAATCAGACTATGAGGAGGCAAGAGGCACAAGAAATCAGTAATTTTGCTCAGGTAAGGAGATTAACTTCTAGATCTGCCACTTGGCTGAGGGCCCTGACAGCCTCTCTCACAGAATCATAGAATATCAGGGTTGGAAGAGACCTCAGGAGGTCACCTAGTCCAACCCCCTGCTCAAAGCAGGACCAATCCCCAACTAAATCATCCCAGCCAGGGCTTTGTCAAGCCTGACCTTAAAAACCTCTAAGGAAGGAGGCTTGTCTTCACGTACAGCACTACAGCATGCTGTTGCACTTTAGTGAAGATGCTACTACACCAATGGGAGAGCTATGTCGGCAGAAGAAGCTCTCCCATCAGCATCGCGCTGTCTACACAGGGGGTTAGGTCGGTATAACATCATCACTCAGGGATGTGGATTTTTCACACCCCTGAGTGACATAGTTATATTGATATAGGTCTGTAGTGTAGACCTGGCCCTAGTCACTAGGGCCCTGAAAAAAAAAAAAAGGCTCAGTGCAAATGACTTAAAAAGAGGATTTTGTTGAACATGTCTGGTGTTAGTAACTTCTCTGTAAGAACTCAGATTGAAAAGAAAAGCATGGTTAGGAGGTGTTAATGGCTGCAACCAAGCTGGTCTTTGATGTATAGACAATCACAAATTGGTTAATGCTGATAGGTGTGCGCAAAGCACCCTTCTTTCAGGCTAAGTGGAAGGAGCAATTAAACTCTTTGATGTAGTGAGATAGCTGGAGAAAACAGAAGCCACCACCTAAGGCAACATGCTGCATGTTGAGACCTGATCAGAAGCTAAGCCGTATGGTTTGAGGGATTTCCTTGGGACAGGTTGCAAATGCAGTGGCTAGGGGATTGTTTGGCAAGGGTTGTGTGTGTTTGTGCATGTCTGCTTGTTTAAAAAAAGCCAGTGGACAGTGAGAGAAACAGTGGTGACCCTGAGGGAGCACAGAGAGAGAGTTCCTTGGGCACAGAACTGCCCGGAGGGGTAGTTTAGTGAGCAAGAAAACTGCCTGTTTGTTTCTACTGTGTTCAGGGAAACAAGACATTGTTTACATGTTTGGAAACAAACTAGATTGCACCAGAAAATATACCTGACTCATTCATTTCTCCTCCTAATGGAAACAACGCTGCAATGCCCCTACTATTGGCTAATCACTCTGGCCAAAGGGGGCAATGGTATGCAAACATCTTTGTATAGATATTGGATCCAATCCTAAGCACTGCTAAGAGCTCTTAGCTCCTTGCAGCATTGGGTCCAGTATGTTATCCTGCATGGACTGTCTCTCCAAATTACTGGTCCCTGCCCTTATTGCTGAATACATTTTGTTGGACCCCTAAAACGTTTATGCAAAGTTAGGCTAATGAATACTTAAGAAATGGAAATCTGAAACCTCAGTCGCTTATTCTGACTGCTTAAATTATTTATCCAACACATTGGAAAAATTAACATTGGCCAGGAAATATAACTTGAAATACTACTATTTGATTTGGCGCCATAGGAAAGAAATATATGATGTCTCTTCACAGCTTGCATTAGTTATTAACAAACAACCCAGCAAAAATTAGCTTGCCATAGAGGTACAAGTGGGGGAAGCCTTGCTGGGTGTAGCAGAAGAAGGGTAGCAACATTTTTAAGGGATGATTTTTCAAACAAACAACTGGAAGGTTTTCTATGCATTCTGGTGAATTTTAGTTGTTTTTTTCTATTATTTTCCCTTACCCTTTTCAGAAGGCAATGACATAAAACTCTTTGCAGACAAAGAGCACAAGCCCCTCTGCTGCTACTCATATTTTTGCAAAACAGCAACAGAGCTAAATTAAAAAGATCTTATTCAGTTTCATGGCTGCCTTTAGAACCCAGGAGGGTGAAACTGTCAAGAATCTTTTCCGATTAATGCTGCTGCTGGTTGGAAAAGCTACGAATGTCAGCAGAGGCAGGAACTGGAGCTATTCATTGAGGAGCAGAACCTAAAATATAGAGACTGCTGACAGGTGGCACAGTAATGAAGAAAGACCTCTTCCTCACACCACCTCCTTGCAGCAGACATCTGGAGACAAGTAAAAAAAATGAAAAGCCTCTTCCCTTATGGGAGAAGTGGGAGGATTAAACAGAAAGCTCCATCTCCCTTCCTGTAGCTAGAGGTAGAGGTTAACATTTACCAAAATTTACTATATTAGCAAGACACTGATAGAAAAGGTGGAGGAGCAGTGTCCAGAGACAGCAGTCTGGTAGACAACTCAAAACAGTCACTGGCTTCTCACCAAAGCATTGATCCTGGACTGATAATCTGGACACCTACCTTTGTCTTCTTCTCTACCTCTCTGGCTAGTTAGTTTAGTCCTTTAGGTATCAGTTAATATTTCAAGCCCTTATTTAAAAGTTTTATATGCCCCAAAGCACCAGCATGTGAACTCACAGTTTGAGTACTCACTAAAACAGGGGTTCTCAACCTTTATCTCTCTGAGGCCCCTCTTGACAGCCTATAAAAACTCCAGGCCCCAGCAGGGGTGCGGGGGCATCAGGGCAGGGGCCTTGGGCATAGGCGTAGTTTGACTTCTATTTGGGGGGGCAGGGGCCAGCGGGGCTCAAGCCACCTCCGCATGGCGGGGTCCGGGGAGGGAGTGCCACCTCCATCCCCTGACTCACCTTAGCAGCCCACTCAGGGTGCAGGGAGAGGGGTACTAGGGGCTGTGTGCGGGCAGGGGGTAGCTCAGGGTGCAGAGGGAGGTAACTAGGGGCTGTGTGCGGGCAGGGGGTAGCTCAGGGTGCAGGGATGGGGTGGCTAGGGACTATGTGCAGGCAGAGGAGTAGCTCAGGATGCAGTGAGAGGTACTAGGGGCTGTGTGCAGGCAGAGGGGTAGCTCAGGATGCAGGGAGAGAGG